GTGAGTGGTCTACAACATCGCTAGTAGGCTTTTTCTCGCAATATATTTGCTTCATTAATGTGCCTGTTCAAAACTGTACTAACCCATGGACTTGCATGGGTAAAGCAGAAGAAAATAGCTGCACACCTATTCAATTGAATAAATCCTAGGAAGTCTACTTTTCAATATAATTTCTTTTGTTCATCTGTTACATTATCCCCAGTGTTGGCATTCCTCTAAATTCTCCACCAAGTTTTATACCCCTTTGTTCTTCTAGTGGAGTACAGGAGTCCTTGACATTTTCCAGTTACAAACCACTGGTGTGGTGGGCCATGGAAGTATTCTCAGTAGAGAGTAGGGTAGTGGTGTTCTGCTGGTGTAGATAGCGTGTGATCCTCCAATCATGTGCTTCACCTTCATTTGGTGGGTCCCAGGGGTTGATATTGCCCCCATCTTTTGTGCAGTTCTATCTAGAGGATGAGGTTGCATATATTTTGTTGAGGTGATCCACTTTCATGCGATGGAACCTGGAAGTTAGCATTGTGCTCCAACTTCTGTGCAATGCTATCTGGGGATGATGTTGTACATATTTCCAAATATATATGCTCCAACTCCATGCAGTGTGTCCTAGAGGTTGATCTTGTGTGCATTTCTATCCATATAGTGAGGTTGTGTATATTTTACAGAAGCTTTCCACTTCTGTGTGATGGAATCTGGAGTTCGATGTTGTACTCAACTTTTGTGCAGTCCTATCCAGAAAATGATGTTGTTTTAGAGAAGATCCATCACATTGCAGTTCACTCTTTCAATTAGGACCCATCAGCCTACCATCACCTGGATGTTGGTTCCCAGTAAATAGTTTTTGATTAGAACTGGGCCAATCAACCTAAATTCTCACACATGCTGATTGTAATTCCTCAACCCAACTCGAATTTCATCATAATTTGGCTCATATTCTCCACCTCTATGTGGGTCCCAGAAGTTGATATTGCACACACACACACACATTCCAACATTTTTGCAGTCCTACCTGGAGGAGGATGTTGTTTGGGGCGAAGGTTCTCCCTCTAGTTCTTCACCTCAGAGCCTGAGGCTTATGATACACTGAGGGATTCCAGTAACATTAGATTTGAGTTGATGTGAACCACCACCTTGGCACATCCCTTCGTACTGTCTTTCGGATGTTAGGTTCCTGGATGTATGGGTGGTTGTGGATTTGCATACATGTGTCCCATTTAGAAGATTGGTTTAACATGTATATAATTCCATTTTACTCAACTTGCGGAGAAGACAGTGTGGACCCTCCTTCTACCCTGGGTCGGAAGTTGTAATCCTGATGCCATGTGGTTTTGAAATGGAGTTGATTGGCTGCATATGGTCCGTCACACCCTAGCCTCTCTATACCTTGAAGCACATCCATTTTACCTTCCCCACATTTCTGTCTGTAGGTGGTTCTTCTACAATTTTACTTCAATGGGATTGAGATGCTGGTGTATTGTGGTTCAGATTTGAATTCATCCAGTTTTCTCACCCTTTTGGCTGTACTCTTACCACTTTCCACCTGTGTTTGCGATACCTATTTCCACACTGAGTGCAGAGTATACCTGGTGCAGTCTCCCACGTGTGTTCCTCTCCCAACAGGAATCACACTTCATGGGTGTTCTTTGGACACTTTCGAAGTATGCTTATTGTGAGAAGAGGTAATTTATTGTATCTGAAGTTAGTATTTTCCTATACTGAAAATATATTTGTGATGGGTATTTACCACTTTACCCATCCTTCCTCCTCACTGAAAACTGGTGCTTTCTTTTCTGCCTAATCTCAAAGTGATATTTCGGTAGAATTGAATAGAGAGACACATATCAGGAGGGTGTGTCACACTCCTACTGGTGAAGGGTTGCTGCATAATGATTTACATGCAAGACGCTGTTGAACCATGTTGATCATGAAGTTCAAGGCTTGTGAAAATATTTTTGCATATAAAGGGCAACACAGAATGAAAATAGCTATAGATATGAGAGGAGGTAAGTACCTATAAGAAATATATTTTCAGCATAGGAAAATAATAACTTCTCTTCAGCTTTCAGAGGTCCTCACTGAGTACCAATTTTATACTGTGTGATAAACTGGAAGAAAACTATACAGTCAAGACATTATCTTAGGATTTTGTGTTAACATTTCTAACACATTCACACTAGTTCAAGAGCTTAGACTTGGAAATGAATTATTGCTTTTATATAATTTAGAAAAGTTAAGGGTAATTTTGATATTTATTTTCTTAAGTTTTCTTTTAGTCCCTTCTTGCATTATTTTTTCACTATTGCCATTGTAAGTATGATACCATAGTATCAAGCAAAAGATTTAAAAAAATTCTCCTTGTTGATTAAATTGTCAAATCACACTTTAGTGGTTTGCCTTTGTTGAAAATTTCTTCTATGTAGCTTTCTTATCTTTCTTTCAGCTTTTTACTGCAGTTGGAAAGCTTAAGCCATTGGGACAGTAATCAAGTTGGTGCTAAAAAATATTGTGTTTAATAAAATGCAAGGAAGGACATGCAGTTTTTAATATAATGTTACGACAGTGGGGGTTACATGACGAGTATTCTAGAAGATTCGCTAGTGTGTTGCGACAGCGTTGCGTCAAGCGACGCTGGTAGCACGTGTTGAGAGTCTTAGAAGTTTCTAGAACAGGCAGTATTATCGTATATAAGTGCGCTAGACAGTGAGAGAGACAGACGGAGTCGAAGCAATAGTGGAGACAAAGACGTAGCGGAGACGAAGCACG